ATTTGCATTTGTCCCACAGGGGTAAATTGGAGCCAAGCACTGTACAGACACATCAAAATACATCTGGAACAACCAGCTAGGTCAAGCCAGGCTTAGTAGGTCTGGGTCAGTATGAGCTACGACGTGCTGGGTTTGGGCAGTGCAGTGCTAAACTTCAGACTGACACTGAAGCCCAAACTCTCACCACGGGCTGGTGCTGTGAGTTCAGACCCTGCTCACCCTCCCCCAAGCCAAGCCTCTCTTGTCCTGGGAAGGCACCTTTATCAGGAAGGTGGTTTTCCCAGGGTGAAACTCATCCCTTGCAGTTCGGGTGTGCTGACCCCTGTGATTTCCACAGATGCAGAGCTAATGAATACAGCTGTAATCTGTTAATAGGTGACTCATTTCAGACCACGGCAAAAGCATTTTATTTGTAGTGTGAAATACTGGGGTAAGGAAAAGCATATGCCACAGACTTGTGACAGGGAAGATGGTAGCAGAAAAAGGAATATAAGCATGATTAAAGGCACAACAAAATTCCTTAAACATCATATTCAAAAAGTGCAAGTAGTTGTGCAAAAGCATAGGAAGTTCATAGTGGCAGATAAACCTGAAAGCACAGCGCAAACATCATAGTGCCTGTAGCCTATTTACCAGTCAGACCCACTTTCTCCCTCTCTGCTCTCTTCCACCTCTGCCCCAGTATCCAAAATCACCTGAAATGTATGATGTTTTCCAAGGGTGTGTCTTAAAATAGTTTATTGCTCCAACCAGAAGAGCTTCAAAACAACAAACCTAACTTTTGATTTCTGTAAAAACCAAAGGTACTAATACAGATGAAATGTGAATAGCATTGATTTTTGGGCAATTTTCTAAGGACAAGCAGGATACATTAGGAGCCTGGAAATGTCGTCAAAGACAGCAGTAAGGAACATTGGAGAATATTTAATTTAGTAAAGGGCATTCCATGTGGATCTATGCAAAAATTATGAACTGGCAGTGTAAGACAGAGCATCCATAGAAAGAAATACCAAGTAAAAAACGGTAAGAAATATGCCTCCTTTATGGATTCAAGTATATTTCTGCATCTTTCAACTTCTTTCTGAAACCACTGAAATGGACTTTTAGAATCAGAATCATGGAATACACTGGATTGGAAGGAACCCACAAGAATCATCAAGTGCAGCTCCTGGCCCTGCACAGGACATCCCAAGAGTCACACCATGTGCCTGAGAGTGTTCTCCAGACACTTCCTGAACTCTGTCAGGCTTGATGCTGTGACCACTGCCCTGGGGAGCCTGTTCCAGTGCCCAACCACCCTTGGGGTGAATAATCTTTTTCTGATATCCAACCTATATTTCCCCTGATTCAGTTTCATGCTGTTTCCTTGGGTCTTGTCGCTAGTCGCCAAAGAGAAGGAATCAGTGCCTGCTCCTCCACTCCCCTCATGAGGATGTGGAAGACCCCAAAGAGGTCTCTCCTCAGTCTCCTCCAGGCTGAACAAACCAATTGACCTCAGCTGCTCCTCACACGGCTTCCCCTCCAGACTCTTCACCATCTTCACTGCCCTCCTTTGGACGCTCTCTAACGGTTTAATATCTTTTGTATATTGTGGTGCCCAAACCTGCACACAATATTCAAGGTGAGGCTGCACCAGTGCAGAGCAGAGTGGGACAATCCCCTCCCTCGACCAGCTGGTGATGCTTTTCCTGATGCCCCCAGGACACGGTTGGCCCTCCTGGCTGCCAGGGCACTGCTGACTCATAATCAGGTTGCCATCGACCAGGACCCCCCACGTCCCTTTCCTCAGGGTTTCTCTCCAGCCCCTCGTTCCCCAGTCTGTACATACAGCCAGGGTTGCCCCATCCCAGGTGCAGAATCCAGCACTTGCCCTTGTTAAACTTCATACAGTTGGTGATAGCTCATCTCTGATTTGTTGAGTTCTCTCTGCCCTCAAGGGAGTCGACAGCTCCTCCCAGTTTAGTGTCATCAAATTAGGAGGAGCTGTGACTCCCTTGAGGGAATTTAGTTAGACAATAAATAAAAGCAGTGAATATGTTTATAAATAATGTCATGGAACAGTTTGCAAAGTCACCATCTAAATAGTGAAGGGATTCTAAGTAGTGTTAGAAATGTTAGATTTGCTGGTTTTGGGAGGAAAGAGTAGGATAGAATGACATGAGTATAAATACCAGCATTCTTTGATTTTATTTATAGCTCATTTGGAAGTTTTTATTAGTTTTTAATTAATACCTTATGGCAGAGTTGCACCAGAGGAAGATAAGTTAGATAATCAAGTAAGAAAAAATGGTCATGTGGCTACGTCATCCTTTGAATGTATATTGTTACAATTCTCCTGTTGATTTCTGTTGGAAATTATATGCAACATATATTCGTGAAGAAATGTCGTAACTTTGGACATCATAACAAAGGAAAGACATTGATGTCCAGGGCTTTCATCTTTTAAAGTATATTCAGGGTAGTAGCTGCTCTTGATGTATTTAGTTCATAAGAAGAGAAACACTGATTTAATACAAGTATCATGTGAATAAATACAATGAAATAACAGCATATGGAAATCACTCCCTGCTATTTGAGCTGTGGTGGCAAGAACCTGAATCTTACAGTGTAGCACCTGGGGAAGCAGTTTCCATTTACTTTAAAGAAAAAATGTATAGAAGGTGAACTCCTGTGATTTCCACAGCTGCAGCTATTTCATAAGTAAATGGTCACAGGTGGTATAGAAGGTGATTATGCTGTAAATAATCAAGCCAGAACATTCTCATAGAAGGGCTTCTTAAAAAAAGTCTCTATGTTTTTGTATATAACCTTTATTTAATATTAAGTGGACATGGAAGTACTCAATTTAGGATCATTTTCATTCTCCAGATGGGATGCCCTAGATGAAGCTCAGACTTGACACTCATCAGAAATAACAGAACATAAAATATATTATGCTCAGTTCTGTGTGTTTTATGGTACCTGTGGAGACCACCAAGCTGCATTCTTTGTCTTGAAAATTTTACAGTATATATCAACATGTGGTTTTTATTCTTACTATGAAGTACCAAAAAACAATCTCTGAACTCCAGGTTTCCTATGTTTATTTAATTACTAAAAATGCAATTCTTGTAGAAAAAAAAAGAATAATGAGTAATCACTGTATATAGAGAAAAACAGATCTGGATCTCTGGTTGATTACACAAATAAAAAGCCTCTCTACCTTCTCACACAAGAAAAGAAGGAAAAGAGGCAACAAAAAATGAACAATCACAAATTCCATCACAAATACATTCTCTCAGGGAGGTTCCTTCCAGTGGTTGTAGCTGTGATAGTGAGGAGCAGGCAGCACATGGGTCAGTGGTCAGCCCTGGATGGATCTTTTGTTGGCAAACCATCTCTGATGGTTGTCAGAATAGTGCACAAATACCAAGGACAGTGGCTGCAGGAGAGAGGTCCTTAGGGAAAGTAAATATGGAATCAGATTGACTGAGGAAGGAGATCATGTGGTTTGGTAAAGTGGCAGAGACATCTCACCTGCTGCTGTATCCTAGGAGGTCACATTTACTTGTTTGAAACATGTATCAAAAATCCCACCACTGGCATTGGAATAAAATGATGAGCTCAGAATGAAAGAAGTCCCATAGCAACCTTCAGAGTTCCTGGAAGTGCCAAAGATGACTAAGTTTCTCTTCTCAGATATTCAGGAATGATCCTGAAGGGCTAAAACCTCTTGTCCAATGTTACAGAATGTATTGAAAGTAATTTTAGGAAATAAATTCACTGGTTTGCTCCCTACTCAGTATTAAAAAAAACCCCAAAACGAGTGTATATTGATGCAATAAACCAACTTCAATAGTGACTATTAATGCTCCAAACAAAATAATTTCCAGTGTTCTTAGAAAATTGAGAGACAAATGATTAATTCCTGCTGTGGGGTGTGATGTGTGCTGGATTAACTGAAAGATTTAGTTGACTAATGGTTGGGTAAGTCTGGATATATGCTCTTAAGATCATAACACTGCTACAGATCATAGAATCCTCTCTATGTGTAATAATATGGAAGCTAATTTTTCAGCTTGTCCTAACACCTCATTCATAGTTTCAGTGAACTTTGGATCCAGATTTAATGTGAAAAGTTGCTGGTAATCATGTGAAATGAAGAAGTTGTGATTATAATGTGAATATTTTCTTGGAAGGACTAAATGAGTGGATTATGTTCTTATCCCTTATTTAATAATACCTAAATTAAATAGTCCTAAGGAAATGGAGGATTAACAAATAAGAAGTATAATACACAGCAAGCAGTCTAGCTGAAGAAAGACTACATAATCTAAAATATCCTCAACTAAATCCACTGAAGCAAATTTAGCAGGGAGACTGAATTACTTGGGCTATGTGCGTGCTTACAGTGGTCCATTTGGGTCAAGGCTAAAGTTCAGAAAGGATAGAGTCTCAGACTGCCTTTCTGCCCTTGTACCTATGCAGTCCATGAGCGGAGGACTCCAGCTGTGAATGGACATAATCTTCTTAAGAGTAAAAAATCTAAATATTTGTGTAAAAACAAGCAAACAAATGTAGCACGATAGCACACAGATACTCTGGAGGAGCTTCATCCTGTTGTTTGTGCATCTCTGTGAGTCATCCTGCAGTTCTGCTCTCCCTGAGGTCAGCTGAAAAAACTTCTCTTGACTTCAGTATATGTAGAACAACAGTTCACCAATACAAAATTGTTTTTTTTTTATTTTCTTCCAAACTCACATTTTTCCAAACTTGTAGAATACATTTGAAGGCATATCCATTTTATATGCAACTGGATTCAGAAGTGTTGGTATTTCTGCATGAAAGCTGCAATCAATTTCTGTCTTAACAGAATTGCAAATAGAGGTTCTAATTGACATTAGCAGAGAGTAAGGACATGCATTTTGATGTTGTTTAGTGACACATGTTAAGGACCCAGGTTTCCATCCTTGCTGCCTTCTTTTTATCTAAAACAGAGTTTCCTCTCCTCTTTTTTCCAGGTCTGGCGTTGGTGTGACAGGTTCTAGGCAGACACTGTTTTATGCAGAAGTAACAGACCAGATGAGAACCAGTGGAGGAGGTGGCCAGCCCGAGGAAGGAGAGCTGATTGAAGTTGTGGAAATACCTTTGGAAGAATCCATGAAGTTTGCTTATGATGAGACTTTCCCAAAGACGATGGGTGTCATCTTCAGCTTCACGTGGTTCCAAAACAACATAGCACCCAAACTACCAAAAAAGTAAAGCACTGTGATCTTAAGAAAAGCTTTCCTGCTGGTTCTGTGGATACAGAAAGCTGCAAATCTTCCTGCCTCCGTCAACTTTCTTGAAATAAATTTGAAAGTAAAATCTGAATTAAAATCCTGACCCAATCTCCATTATTAGCAAAACACTTACTGGCATCGGTGGGGCCAGGATTTGCCTTTGAGAGGCAAATGCTGATTCTTGTGCAAAGGTTAAGTAAATGTGTCCAGTTCTCCTTTTTCACAGCACTGTTCTGAAGAGCTGCTCAGGCCCTCAGTGTGGCTGCCACACGAACCTGTCACAGTGGTCTGTACGTGGTGGCAGCTGTGTATTCACTGCAGTTTTTGATATTTTTGGGAGGGAAGCAGCAAACCTGAATAGTGACAGATACCCTAACTGTGTTCCTGAGTTCTGCACAGCTTTCAGGGAGCAGTTTTCTCTGCGGAGTGTAGCTCCTGTGCAGAGGAGGAGTTTGCATTTCTGAACATGCAAACCTTTATCACAAGCAAACATGTCTGTAAATCCTTCTGCTATCGTGTCAGTTTGACAATAGAGCAGCTGTAAGGTTATGTGCTTCTGTTTGTTCCCACTACAATGCTGAGCAGCAGTGATGGTGATAGAGGGCTGAAGGATGGGGGCTTCTGCTGGAACACATGCTCCTTTGTTTGCTTTATGGGTAATACTTGATTAATTAGATCAAACTTTGTCCTCTAGACCAGGACTAGAGAGGCCAAATTCTTTTAATTTGACTCAGAGGTGAGTACCACAAGTGATTTCTCTGAGGTCTCAGTTTCCTTATAACCCAAATGGGAAGAATGGGACTTACCCTCAGATAACATTTCTTGGAATCTAATGATTGGAAGTGCTTTATTGTGATTTTATCATGATTTGTGCAGTTTACATGGAAGCCTGTGCAACCTGCACAGACGTACTGAGCGACACAATTTGATTTAATGAAGTGGCCTAATTAGAATGTATATTAGGTCTTCTATCAGCGTAGTTTAGATGTGAACTATTTGTCCTGTGAAACTGTTATGAGCATGAATGAAAGAGAATTGAGTCTGTCAATTTAATTATGCACTGGTTTATGTTATTCACTGATTTAATCAACATGCCTACACTGTATGTGCCTCCAGGAGTACTGAGGTGCTAAGTGTGTTTAGAAGATGAGGACTGCAAATATGCAAACTTGAACTTAGCACGTGGAATAAATGCAGCACATCAGGTGCCTGATGGTGTCCAGTGGCTGATTTTAAATCACTGCATGTCTAAATAGGTGTATAAATAAATAATGTGGGGTTTTTAAAAAAAGCTTTTAGAACTGCTGCTTGCTGGTTCTTCTGCTAACTGGGAGGAAAGGTCCTTGGAAAGCCACTGAAGAAGGAGCAGCCTTTGTCTGTGGAGTCAGACACTTTTTGTGGAAGTTCAGGCGCAGCTGTGTTGAGCTGGACTGGGTCTGTGGTGAGTCAAGGGCTGAGTTATTGTGAGAGGCAAATAAATTCTGTCTGTCTGATGTATTTACATTGGAAGGTGTTTTAAGGTGGGGTCTCCACTGCTCTGTCTAGTACAGTATGTCCTGATTGCTGCTGAGCCCTTTACGAACTACTACAGTCTGTAGAATAAATAATGCCTTTTATTCCAGGCTGTAGTTACCAAAGTACCTATTTGATTCCATTAGAATTATTAATTACACAGCAGGTCATTATCTGGTTAGTGTCAAGCTAATAAGTGTGAGTGTATACATGTCAAAAGCTTTTTTTTCTGTATAAAGCATTAATTTTGGAAGATAAATTGGTGTACTGGAGGGTGGTCAGAGTTTGAAAATTTTCAAAGCATCATTTGTTTATTTACACTGTTTGCACCAGAATTACAAATGGACACAACTCCACCTCTAATGAGGCTCTTCATGGGTTGCTGAGAGCTGTCGTCCTGTCAGACATTCCCTCCCCTGCCTCATCCAGGACCTGGAGTCAGTGCCTCACAAGGTGCACTTCCATTGCCTTGAGAGAGCCCTTGGTGAGAGCCCGGGGCTTTGACCCGCCCTTGTGTGTGACAGGCACTCAGAGTGTGACTCATCAGACTAAATACACAGTTCATGGATTACCCTCTCTGGAAGTGCCTTCAAATCCCAGCACCTGCATTCGGTTTGGGGTCGTCAGAGCACCCTGGGGAGGCAGGTCAGCCACTGCTGGGTCTCTTGTGCCACCACACAACGTGCACATCATGGGCTGCCGAGTGCCAGGGAGAGCACGTGGACAAACTCAGCAAGGAGGGTGGGCGAAGGTCCTAAAATCTCTGTGAGCATCACACAGTTGGTGCCAGCCAGTCATGCCGTGGCTGCACATCTTTGACCTGGGCCATTTGAAACACACACGTATTTTGCCCCCTCCAAGGCACTGTGGCTGTCCCTGTTATGTACTGAACTTCCCCAAGGGCAGTGCCAGACTTGCCAAAATCTGTCCCGGACTCCTGCTGCTGGTCAGCAGAAGGCTGTCCCCCATCACTCAGCTGGGTGGAGGGTTTGCAAGCTGTGTATACCCAAGAGGTGCTGCTTTACAGCCCAGCACTGGGGCCGTGCAGGGCGATGGAGAGGAGCCACCACCTCCAGAGCAGCAGCAGAGGCTTCCCAGGTGGGACAGTGGGAGGTCACAGTGTGGGAAGAGAGGGGCGCGTGATGCAGCAGCCTGGAGGGGTGTGTGGGCAGGGAATCCACAGCCCTTATGAGGGCACAGGGATGGCATCTGCTTGCTCTGAGGCAACCTCACCCATACAAGCTACAGCCTTGAGACTGCCTTTATGCAATGGATACTTGTGGATAACGGTGATGGGGGGCAGTTGCATGAGCTGGGTAGTCCCTCTGCACTTCTCCAGAAGACCAGACAAGAAGTATTGGCCCCACCTCCCAGTTCGCTCCTCCCCAGGGGTCTGCTGGGCACACACCTGTAAAACCCTGGGGGACTGCGGTGTCTCTGAAGCCTTCACACCCCGAGGGATGCTACACCCCATGCCTGTGCTCTGCCTGGCTGTCCACACAATATGCAGTTCTCAAACAGAAACAGAAGTCACTTGATTCCTTTAATTTTCTTCCCCAATTTGGGAATTTTCCACAGAAACAGCAGTGATGCAATATAGTGAAGGCTGTACACAAAGCAATGGAGTATCTAGTGTTTGGATTTGCAACATTAAACATAAACGTATAAACCTTTTTCCATGTTAATTTTGATGGAGATTTTTGTCAGTAATTAGGAAGGTTTGAGAATGTGGGAGAAAGGGCTTGAACTTTTTTTTTTTTCCAAAACAGTAGATGATTCATATTTATAAAAATAAAGCCAGAACAATTCAGATGTCACTTCTCTCGTCAGGGCTCATTTCAAAGATCATAATTAGAGCAAATCCAATATACATCGGCCAAGCCCGGGCAGGAAAAAAGTTCTTCTAATGGAATCTTGAAATTGCGTCTGCATTTTAGATTCATCCTTCGGACGTGCCACCACACAAACATCCATGGAGAGTGAACAGTTCAGCATCAAGCAGGGTCCCCATTTGTTACTAATGAATATTGGCTCCAGCCTGCAGAACTCTGATCTGATCTCATCCCACCGTCCCCATGAGATCAGTGTCTTTCACTGAGTACAGTCGAGTGGTCTGCATTTATGATACAGATCTGAGCATCTCTGTCACCTCTATGATGTGACCTGGAGATATAAAAATAATCTAATGAACCCGAAGTTATGACTAAGGCTTCTAATGCATTAAGCATGAAAAGATAAAATCTTGAATGCGGTGTCACTGTCGGGCTCACTGTTAGGTGGCAGAAGAGACGTCACCAGCACCTTGCAAGCACATGGGCCTCGTTTGTTACTGCTCTTTACGACCCTATTTGTAAAGCGACCGCAAGGCCTGAGCTACTCCCGGGTCTCATGGTTGTTAAGGACTCAACAGTGACGTGATTAAAACGTCTTCTCTAAAAGGCTGACACTGTAAATAAACGAGCTGAATTACACCGTGAGGTTGGTGGGGGCAGACGCAGGGATGGGGCGCGGGGTCCCGGCTGCCCTCCTCCCCTGGACGCGCAGGGATGCTCCCTGTGCTGCTGGAAGTGCTGCCCTCGCAGGCGGCCGCTTGCCTTTTCTCGCTCCCTCATTACCATCCCTCCCCGCCAACCATAAAAGCCGCGTTCCTGACTCCCCACAGGGCTGCGGCCGGGGCCAGGCCAAGGGCAAGCGAGATAATTGCTCCTGAAATACACGTGCCGACCGAGCAGGGCGACCCGCTGGACAAATAGGATTTTTGCTAAATTAGGACAATTGCCGAGCGCGCTCCATCCCCTCTCCGGGGCTCTATACATAGACGGAAGGCACGCCCAGTTGTGCAATCTGTTGCAGCGGCACACCTGGCGCTGTCTGCAAGTCTATTCACAACCGTCAGCAGGTGCGAGGTGGCCTTTGTGGCCATAAAAGTCCGGCTGGGCGGCCCCCGCTGCGCGCCCTGTGCCGCGGCCGCCCCGCGCCGGGGCAGGGGAGGCTCTCGCAGATTAATGCGGTTGTTTGAAGCTGCTGGGAGCCACCGCCCGAAGGCTTGTAGAGGCTTCAGGGGGATCAGGGTAAGGCCTGTGCACACAGAGATGGATTTGCAGCTCCCGTCTCGGTGTCAGCGCCGAGGTGGAGGTAACAGGCAGGGCAGTGCTGCTGCCTGAGCAGGGACACGGTACAAGAGCGACCTGAGCAGATGGAACGTGTCCCTGTCCATGTCAGGGGAGTTGTAACTAGATGATCTTTAAGGTCCCTTCCAACACAAACCATTCCATGATTCAGTGATTCTGCAGCCCCAGGGGTACCCTGCCAGCAGGTACCAGTGATTTGCAATCGAACCCCTGTTTGGGCTCAGCCTCTCCAAAAAAAAGGATTTTGCTTGCTCTGGTTTGGGATGCTACATCTCACACAGCACAGCACTGAGGTGGAGCTCCAAACCCTCCATCCCCAGTCCATGCTTGAATTTAATTTAAGGAAGGACACAATGGACTTTGGAGCAGGTTTTCACCAGGAGTTTTCACTCCCACTGGTTCACACAGGATTCAGCTTGATAGGAATGAAAAAAAGGGATGCTCATACAAATCCTGCGCTGCTGCAAAGGTACTCCTCAATTAGTCTAGTCCTTCAGAGCCAGTCTCACTCTTTAATTGGGAAGGCATTTTTACAAGGACTTTAAATGCTCTCGAGATGAATCATGAGGGAAGAGAGGAAGAATTCGTAACAGCTAAATGGCCCAGATTTGTGGTGCTTGGGGCTCTCTGGCCTCAGGACTGGCTTCAGTGCAGTTCTCGTAATTGGAAATATGATCAGATACATATTAAACCCCATAACCATGCACTGTATTGCTCTGCTGCTGAAGTGCTCAATATCCTGTGCTGGCTTTGGTCTCTAATAAAACATTCAAAAGCAGTAGCGCTCTGAGAAACCTCTTTTGGACACTTGGTTATGATGAAAATGGGCTGGAAATAGGCAATGGGGGAATGGCTGTCACCTGTCATCGTTAATGGCTGCCCTCATGCCCCAGAATCGTTAACAGAGAGATCCCTGGGCTCCTCTTGTGCCCACCTGTGGGCCAGTTCTCAGGGTATGGGTGTGATGGGTAGAGCATTCAACAGTGAGATAAACATGATTTGATAATTTTGAAAGAGCAAAATGTTGCTGTGCTGGCTACAAGCATGCCTGTGGCAGCCAGGAGCCAGCCTGGGCTCGGCCACATCCGACTGGCTGGGCATGGACCAGGTGCTGTGTGAGCCCTGAGCAGTGTGTGTGTGTGTGGGGGGATCAAAGCCAGCTGTGTGGAGAACCTGACCCCTCCAAACAATGCCATCCGAGGCCATGTCCACCTCACTGTAAGCCCAGCCTAGTTTTAACCCTGTTCCTTTGGACTTGTGGACAGGTGCTTAGAAAAAAAAAAGAAAAAGAGCAATTCATCAATAGCCCTGACAAATAAGCATAGGAGGACAACATCCCACCTGGCTCTAGGTGCAATGGAAACATTTCTGATGAGCCTTGACCCAGTGCTTTAGGGTGTCTGGCACACAATTGGCCCCATACCCAGCCTTTTCCAAAGTCCTCAACAGATGGGTTCTGTGCCCTATGAATGGCACAACCCAGCCACCACCTCCAAAGCCTCCCCTGGAGCTGCAAGGCAGGGGCTGGGGCCATGAGAATTGCTGGGCCCCAGCTTGTTGGTCCCCTCCAGAGCTGCAGCTGCTCCTGTGAGCCTAGGAATGGGGATGGGTTTGGGGATCAGTCACTAACGGGGCTTCCAGTGCGCCT